GTGGAAAAATTGTCGTGATCGGACTATAACTTTTCAATACAATTAAAATAAATGAAAATACAATTCAATACTCAAACAATACAAATTGATCTAATCTAATTAAWTTTACAGSAAAACAAAAAAATATGTAAATGACGGATAATGAAATCTCGATTATCATTTTATCATGCGGGACTATAAAMTGTTYGGTGACAGCAACAGAACTTAGCCCTTCCKTACTTGTTTCTTAGAATTTTTGAGTATTACYCCTCGCATTACTCCCGGCCTCTCAAAACTTTCCAAAATTATTTCARTWCYTTCTATTACTGCCAAAGCAAGTCTATAACTTGCCTATAAGTTTAGTGTAAGACAGGATTTTGTGATATTTACATTGTATCAAACCATCTCTCATGTAGAAATAGTATCAGTTGTGAAGTATAGGACTTTTATTCATTAGTTTCACTAAATTCAGTCAACAGCCTCGTGAGATCCCCGTAACACAAGCGCAATTGTATACTGCATATGATAGCAKATTACAGCTGAACCGTTTCATGTTTGACTAGGCATGATCACGGCAGTACTAGTTTAAGAATCTTTCCTTTCATTGTTGAGTTCACACTTGGCTTAAACTATCCATTGTCCAACGCSGACTTTACCGATCTAAGATGTATCCAAAAATAAAACTTAAAAACTATAAACTCGCTGATCCYAACAATTTGTTTAATTCTTTCGTGTCTGCGTTTCCAGCTACTGAGAGCTCATTAAACGCCACGAACGTGCTGACACATGCCTGCAATTCCATTTTTATGTTCATCGATTTGCTGATTGTGGCGCATCCGTTGCGACTACTGCATATGTTTTTGCCAGCGGTATTTGGTATCATATTTGCAATATTCTCCGTCATATACCAGACATGTGGCGGCAAGAACAGGTATTGATAATTCAATTTGTCATTTTCACAAACACATTTTATTGAATTCTTTCATTTGCTTATAGAAGGGGCAAACCGTACATTTACCACGTGATTGATTGGCGTGAACCGTTAAATGCCACACTTGTGGTTCTTGGCGTGCTCCTGCTTACCTGCTGCATCTACTTGATACTCTTCACCATCTACAAGCTGCGCACTCTGCTCTATAGACGCATAAATAATGCCTCATACTACTTCCCAACAACAACGCCGCATACTGGCGGTACCGAGAAGTCCGCAAATGGCACTTTGCCGAAAACAGTTAAAGGCACGGGCATCCAGCATTCGCCKTCCGGTATTTCTATGGTGTTCGGTAACTTCAACACGCCCACTGGCTATCATAACGAAGCGTTCACGAGTAGCACCGAAAAGTTGGAGCGGTATTAAGCAATTATTGCGGGGAGTTTACAGGGAAACAATGTGTAATTCAAATCAAAATTGTAGGAGTGATGAATATTATTTGTATATATGTATATGTAGTAGTTTGCATGCGTGCTTAAAGTATATTGATTAACACCTCATATTTCGTAACTAATGTACAAAATAAGTTTAAAAAACATTTATTTTTTCATTTTAATCTGTATTTAGTAATTTAATATTTTAGCGTAATGCAAGCAAATTGTTCTAGTGAGTTTTTCAGCATTTCTAAGAATAGATGTAGCAKTAGTTAAGAAATATCGAACTGGTTGTGCGTATACCTTTAAAAAAGATCAAATACAAAAGATTCAATATATAGAAACTAAGTCTTTAAATTTTCGCAATTATTGGATATTTACCATAAATATTTGCTATTATCTATTTATATTTTAATAAATTATATATACAGGTTAGGTGAATATAGTCATATCCGAAATTAGATCGCMGCTGATTGTATAACAAGAAAGACATTATGCACCAGTGGTTCTCATCGTTGAAGAACAGGAAAAGTGATCGATACTGTAACTGCTCCAAAATCAGCAGAAATGCCTCTTACTACCTATATACTTATTTATTCTGATTTTTTCTCAAAATATCCAACAAAATGTTTCTCTTAACATTTGATAAATGAAAACAGTATTTGTACTACTCTATTTGAGTAAATAAGTTATACAAAAAAAACATTTTTGGGATATAATGATCCTAATGAAGGCTTACGGGCAAAAATAATACTTTCTTCTTTCCAATGCGTAATAATCAAAAAACATTCTTACTAACATTATTATCTTTTTGTRATTCAATAATATTTGAAATTTGGGGTGGTAAAAAGACGGGATGGTCAAAGTGTGTGAATGGGCAACGAGCGTGGAATTACCAGTTATTCATTAGCGCAAGCCCAGAAAAGTAGTGATATTGTCACAGTTATCGCAATAACTTGAGATATTGGGATTTTGTACAAGTTTCAATTTTGTCAGTCTGTTTTATATGACAATTGGTTCGAAATTTTTGAACAAAATTTGAGATTAAATGTTTTTGTTTTTTTTTTGCTTGCTAATGATGAAAATGTGACCTTTGTTCATGTCTTCCTCGAGTTCATTTAAACTAGCTTCATATAACGGGTAATCCAAGTAGAGGTACTTTTTAATAGCCTCTTTTTGGCAGACCTCGCATATGTCGTGCCAAGCTCACATGTCATTTTTGTTCTGTATTTTATCATAGAAAGACTTACGCCTCAACAAAGTTTACAAATTGTTGAACTCTATGACAACAATTCAAGTTCTGTAAGAAAATAACGCGTGTTTCGTTCAATTTATGGCCAACATAATCGGCCTGTCATTTGAGACCCTACATGCGTTATTGGATAATATTAGACTGAATAGATTTGAGCGGGTGTAATGACACTTCGTGGGTTACACGCAGATTTTCAGTGCTCTAGAAGCGAAAATTTTGCTTATTTACGTACCCGCTAAGATGRAAATGGGCCTCATCACCCAWGATTATTTTTGATGAAAAATCATCTTCCKCTTGGTGGTGATTAAGGATGGCTTGARCGTATGTTAGACGCGATTGGTGGTCAGCTAACAAYTGATGCACCGTCTGGACTTTGTACGGAAACAACTTCAAATACCATGTATTCATGTACCAAAACTTGCTGTAAACACCATTGACTGATACCCRTTTGCATGGCACGTCGTCTGGTCGATGTAGACGGCGCTTCCATGACATCCTYGGCAACAGCAGCAATATTCTCTGCAGAACGGCTACTCTGGAGCCTGCCACGCCTGGCAGCATCTCGTGTAGTGGTCAAACGTCGAGGCGAGCGGCCAAACGTCGCAATGTTTCACTAGTTGACGTCGGACTTCCAGGAATCTGTGACGAAATTATGCCCAACGCACCGACCGATTATTGGTCAAATAAATAGTCAAGAATAACCCGTGTTCTGGAGCAGTGTAGCGTACCATTGTTTATTTACGTGTATATCGCATGTGTTTACTACACAAATGCCAAAACAGAACTGACATTAGAGGTCAGTGCAAAATTTATAGCATCTTCTGATAGGAGGATTACTTTTGCGTCACCCTGAATATGAGTACGTGTACTTTCTTCAGCTTCACATCGTTTACAGACTTTATTTCAATTAAACTGTGAAACAGCGGTAAGTTTGGTAAGTTTTGAACAGTTGAAGTRAAATGCTTACATGCATGTATGTGTGTCAACATCTGTTGACCCTGCACCTGTACTGAATCCTGCACAGCGATAACGAATGCGTCGTGCTATTTTAGCGCCGGGCATGTGTTGTGCTAATGGCAAAGTGAGTTTGCCAGCATTAAAAACTCCACTCGAATGTCGAAGCCTTTTTTGAGCCATATTTAACAATACAATTCGACATTTCAACGGACATCTTTTGGTGCTACAAAAATTATTATACTCTTAAAACCTGTTGCTGTTGGCAGTGAAAAAGTTGTTGCCAAATGTGAAATTTGATGTGATATGATCTTAACTGCTAAATCAAGAGGATGATTCCAACTGATACGTCATTTCAATTTAAACGATTACAATTAAGTTTTAAAATAGCTAGTAATTAGTAAACTATTTTTATGTTTATTCACTTTATGTGTAGCGAAGCACGTACCGGGCCATTAGTATCTTATTTTGATTAGTTATCGGCTTGTTAGCAAGAAGATTAATTTTTTCAGTTATGATTATGGTTTATCGCAACTTTTTTGAGCATAAAAATATCATGTGATCCTCTCTCTCGGTCTCTTTACAGAAAATATATGTTCCCATAAAAAGATAGCGAGGAGATATTCAGACATATAGTTTACCAAATGTTCACTGAAAAATATATAGTTTACAAAATGTTTGAAAATCCACCTCTGCGTTTCCTAAGTAATTTGTATGCTTTGAGGAACAATGAAGTCGCCGAATTATCAGAAACGGTTTATTTTACTAGCTGAAGTGAATGAAGTTTACCAGCGGAAGTGTGAACCGTCTACATGAAAGTTATTTTCTCAAAATGAATTCAGTGATTTACAAAGTGATCAAGTTAGGAAAGATAAAGCAATTTGTCAAAGTGTTCAACGAGCATGGATATCATTTCATTTACATTACTAAAAAATTTCTGAATATTTCTTGAAATTCYGATAAWCTTTCAGACACTACAGCCTTGACTTGACTGACTTGAATCTAGCACCYCTGGWGGTGCCATCTAAATGTCGACTAGTGCGTTAAAAAATGTTATTTTTTTTCGATTTTCCAATGAGATTCATGACATTTCATGGAAGWTTGGAAGTGAAGTTATTGCGTTTAATTCGTACAATCGAGCATTCTGCCCCCTTGTATATGAAAGGAGCATCACAATTAGTCGAGTTCCATTCCACAGTTTCGGCRCATGAAGATTGTGAAATATAATAACGATAGCTCCAACTTTGAGACAATTCAGAAAGTCCACTGGATAAATCATCTTCATTGTCAAGACGGTCGATCGATTTTACGAGCACAAGTGTCTCCCGGAATTTGACTTTGAACCTTCCAACTTAAGTCAACAACATCGGTATTTTTGGCAGCTAACATTGCGCTTGCACTTAAGGAATAGTAGTTACGATAATTTGGCTAATGTCCGAACGTTCGTGATGAGTTCAGATTTCATGAATTGATAAACGGCGGATGGAATTGATATCAAACCACTGGGAGTATCAACCAAAATTTGCCATTTTTTAATTCTTATCGAATACAATGCAAAATGTCTTCGGCAATGTCATTTTTGTTCGTATACCATAATTGACGCGGATTT